TATCAGATTCACAAACAGGATGTTTTTCACAGAATTTAATTTGCATAACGATAAAAAAAGAATACACTAAAGCTTTGTAGCCTTACTGATTATCAATCAATCAATAAAAAATCAGTGACCAATAAATTACCATATATGAAGTTTTAGTAAGTTTCTTAAATAGAATTAATAATCAGTGCATAAATATAAAAAAAGAATTTTTTTTTTCTTATGAAGAAAACAAATAGAATAATAATAAAATGATACTTAAAAGTCATAGCTCATATATCCCGTGACTTTCTAGTTCAAAGGCACTAATCTAAAAAAAGTATGTAATTAATACTATAGTCGAGATGAAAATAAAAAACGGAGAAATCAATAAAGCTAAATAGGTGTGTTCTAAAGAGGGCTGTGTAAATATGTATTGAAATTCACAAGAAAAAGAGAATAAAAAATTAAATGCTTTAAAAAAAAAAGAAAATAAAGAAAAAGCCTCAAATATAATAATTAGCCGCTGATCAAAAAATTATATTCAATAGAAAGTGATAGAATATATATATATATATTTTTTTTGATGTAAAAAAATGCATTTAAATGTTTATAAAAAGGTAAAATTAACTCAGCGAGTTAGTAATAACTCAATTGAAATTTATCCATTAGCAATATCTATATTTTAAAATGGATCAAGAAAATTCTTCTACATTTCAATACGAATTAGAAAAAGATACTTTTGACAATATTCTAGAACATAATTCTATTCCCACTGTACCTTATAAATTTTCTTTGGCAACACATAGTCTTGAATATTTTACTTCTCCTAATCTTGAATATTCTACTTCACTATCATATACATCCAATTCAATTTCTACCTTACCCTTAGAATCTTCGTCATATAATCTTGAATATGTTGCTTCATCTCCTAATCTTGAATATTCTACTTCACCGATAGATGCTTCTAAATATTCAACTTTGTTACATAACTTTAAATAATCTATTTTGCCATTAAATAATTCTGAAAGTTTTGCTTCAACACATGATACTTCTGACTATTCTGACTCTTCAAATATTCAAACTCTACAAAATGATAAAAAACATAAGTCAGTTTTCGTAACTTCATCAAACAAAAAACTAAAACCTGGAAAAAGCTGAGTGTGGCTTCATATGAGAAAAGATAAGTATGTAAAAAAGGAAACAAAATGTTCAGTTCTAGTCAAATGAGATGGAAAAATAGCAAAATGTAGTGAAACTTTTGCACTTTTTACTAGCACAAGTACACTTACTACCCATTTACGTACAATACATCATTTATCAGAAAAAGGTTCATTATTACCATTATCAGGAATATCCGAAGAACCAGTTTCTAAAAAAACTATTAATATAGCTCAAAAAGATTCTACACAACCTACATTAATAGATACATTAAAAAATAAGCCATTGTTATCTTCTAAAAAAAAGGACAGACTAACCTCCAGACTTTTAGCATAGATCATTGATGATATGCAAGTATTTAATGTTTTAGAAAATAAAAAATTTTGTGACTTTGTATATGAAGCTGAATTATATTATCAAGTTCCATGTCAAGACATATTTAAAAAAAAAATATATGAAGTGGTTAGTTTTGGAGAAAATAAAATATTTGACTTTTTTCAGACAACAATGGATACCTTTTCATTTACAACTGATCTCTGGACAAGTGCGCATAAACCATACATCAGAATTACTGCTCATTGGCTTAACTCTAATTTTCAGTTAAATCAAGTGCTTATAACTATTGAAGAATTTCTTTATCCTCACACTGGAGAACATATTAAGGACTGTTTAAAGCATGAGTTTTCCAAATGGAATATTTCAGAAAAATGTATTTCTAAAACAACTGACAATACAAAATCAATAGTCAATGCAATAACTAACCTTGGAGTAATTCATATTCACTACACCGCACATACCCTTCAACTTTCTATTACAGATTCTTTAAAATTTGATGAAGTAACAACATTGATTAATAGAGCTAAAGACTTAAATAGTTTTTTAGTTCATAAAGATAAATATAGAGAAATGTTAAGAAAAGCACAAGATGAAATTAATAAAAAAACTAATTCTCATACTACAAGCTGAATACAATTCTTAGAGCCAATAGCCACAGCATCGGCCACATGTTGGAATTTCACTTTTGTGCTTTTAGAGTATCTATTGTTGCTGTATGAATCTACACAATTACTTACAAAAAAGATGATTCAAAATATTGATTATGAAACCTGTAAAGACGGAAAAAAGCTAGAAACTTTATTATTAAATAAACATGAATTGTTAGACTTTAAAGAACTTGTTTATTTATTAGAACCTTTTGCGAAAGCAACATCTCTTATGGGTGGAGATACATATCCTACAGTTTCTCTTATGCTTCCGATAATTGCAACTCTTCAAGAACACCTATTTAAAGTAGAATCAATACTTACTTACTTAGTTGTTTGTGATATTAAAAATGAAATAGAACTTAACATAGCTAGTCGATGAGAAGATCCAGTAATAAAAGGATATTTGGCTTTAATTTTGGATCCTAGGTTTAAAAATCTAGAATTTGCTCCTGAAAAATTCAATGAAACAAAAATATCTCTAAAGTAGCAAATGAGAATACTGTTAGATGAAAATGAATATTTAGATGACCAACCAACAGCAAAGCTATCTTCAAACTTGGCATCTTTTTTTAATAATGCCACCCCTACTAAAAAATTCTCTCTAATTGATACAGAATTAAAAACATATTTCGACTTGTCTCAAATGATATTATATAATCTTGACAATCTGAAGTATAAAACTGAAAATCCACTTTCTTGGTGGCAGTTACATGTGAAAACATTACTTTTACTTGCATGATTAGCTCATCGGTATCTTGCAATTCCTGCAACCTCTGTTCCATCTAAGCATTTATTTTCAACAGCTAGAAATGTACTAACAGATAAAAGAAATAGGTTACTTCCAGAAAGTGTTCATGATTTAGTTTTTTTAAAAGAAAATAATAAGAATTTCAACGTTTACTCAGATCTTGAATAAATTCTAAATTTAATTAGTTCTTTTGACATACATATATATTTGATATGTAATATGATTGGTGTATTTTTATCACGTGACAATATCTTTAAAAAAAATTGACTTTGGTTAAAAACCAAAATAAATAATCGACTTAAGTCGACTTAGTCAAGTCGAATTTTTAAAATCGACTTGGTTCACTACTTTATATAATTACAAATCACTTATAATCACTATCATACTATATATTACAAGTAAAATATATTTATATATATATTATCCTTCTATATAATCATATTAAAATAATGATAAATACTGTATATTCCTAATAATAACCTACTTTAAAAATAAGATACCTTCTCTTTTTTGGTTAAAGAACATAAAACCTTTTTTTATCCAAAAATAAGCCACTCCCATAGTTGATAATAGTTGCTAAATAGTAAAGTCCAAATTTTACTATGCTAATTAATAAAAGTTGCTTAAGTAAACCTGTTCAAAAGATCAAAGTATATATAATATGAAATTTTTAGTTGAATTGGAGAACTTTTTATTATTTGGCTTTTAAGTTTTATGTTTGACAAAAAAATTAAAATTTTTTAAAAAGACATATTTGTTGAAGGTAAAAATTAAAAGTCAATTAATGAAAATCTTTCCGATTTTAATAAAAGTTTCAAAATATATGTATTTTGATTTTCTGAGTAAGTTTACTTAATCGACTTTAGTCAATTTACTTAGTAAATTTTAGACTTTACTATGTGGTGACTATTTGTGATTAATTAAAAATTGATTTTATTCAAAAATAAACTTTGTATTCAAACTAAGTGCTTGAGTTGCTTAAAGAGAGTTAGAGATAAGTGTACTATACCTGATATTGTAGTATGTAGTACAAGAATTTCATGTTATAATTAGGCTTTATGATTGCGATAGCAATACAAGGACATCATATTGTAATTAGGCTCTATGTTTACTGCAGGCAATACAAGAATATTATATTTGCCTCCCTATAAAAAAAGTCAAAATTTTTTAAGATTTTGTTTAGATTTTTATTATAAAAAATGTCATAATAATCTGAACAAAATTTGAATAGAATTTTGATTTTTTTTTTATTATAGGTTCAAAGATATAATAGCAGTACAAGGATCTTATATTGTGATTAGGCTCTGTGGCTACAAGGACCTTATATTGTTTATAGCTGTTGCAAGCAGTGCAAGAGCCTCATGTTTGATAATTAAGCACCTTAGCTATGATAGCAGTACAAGGATCTACATTGTGATTAGGCTTCATGGATATGATAGCAATGCAAGAATCTCATATTGTGGTTAGGCTCTATAGTTCTTGTTTGGCAATTAACTCTGCAATTATAATAACAGTACAAAGACCTTATATTGTAATTAGGCTTTGTGGTTGTGATAGCAATACAAAAGAACTCATTTTGTGATTAGGCTCTATGACTATTACAGGCAGCATAAGAGTCTTATTTTTGGTGATTAAGCATCACAACTATAATAGTAGTGCAAGAATCTCACATTGTGGTTAGGCTCCATAGCTGCAATAGATTAAATTAATCAAAATTTAATTAAATAAAAACCAACAATAACATTTTCATCTTACTAAATATATGATTTATTGCATATAGTAATTTAAAAATTTTTTTGAAGCAAAAGAAGCTTTTATATAATCTATCTAAACCATACCTTATTAAAAAGAACAAATAATAATTATACTGCTTTTTTCTTGCTAAACATATAAATATAGTTTATTAATATTTTATTTTAATTTTGTTATATCTACAATTTACAAATTAGAAGAATAAAAACCTATAATGCACAGAAAAATTGATGAAGTACAAGGTGAAAAATTTTATTTAAAGAGATTCTACGAACATATATACATATATGCGTACAATAAATAAATAGAGATCTATCTGATAGAATTTAAATAGTGCTAATTACTGTAGCTAATTACTCGATAATGACTGGTACACATTCAAGATATGCTATAAAAAGAAAAATATTATAAGGTTTAACCAATAAAACAACATGAGTGATGAATATAAAATTTACTATTTTTAGTATATAAGTTCAAAATAAAGTTTTATAGCAATATATACTGATATATACATTGAATTATGGAATCAAAAGTCTATTTAATTTTGAATTTTATAAATACAACCTGAATACAATAAAAAAGATTTGAGAGCATGCTAAGCAGTTTGATTAGAATGATCAGATCAGTTAAATAAGATCTGGTTTTATAAAATTTTCATATAAAAATCCTTTCTGTTTTAGTCTAAAAGGAAATGTGGCAAATTATGAGTAAGATTGCAACCAATAAATGAGATGCCTAACATTAATTATAAACTTTAGTAAAAATGATCTGCTGCATAATGACAAAGAAAGATTAGAGAAGGGTTAAATAGATATGTATATAGCTTATTTTCAAGAATATATAGTATATTTACTTCTATATAATCACACAATATATATCTTATTTATATATGTAATTATATAGAATGAATACTATATAATCACACTTCTTTATAATTACAAAATTTCTTAATACCAACTGTATGATTATAGAGGAGGAAGACTGTATATATGTTGTATTGGTAACATTCCTTAAACTATAACTAGAATTTGAGATCTTGATTGATATTTTGTATATTGTGATTAAAGATATTAAGAGAAGAGGTTAATATTGATATATTAATGTTTTTACTAGGATTGAGTAATAGTGTGGTATTGGAGTTTAGTTAATTGGTTATTAATATTACTGTTAACAGTAAGTTATTAATAGCTAAAGATGTATTGTTTATATTAAATCTATTGAATAATCTGATTAGAGATTTTTGAAAGTTATAGTTTAAGTGAAGTAATGTGTATAATAATTTTGTTTGAGAAGTTATAAGAAATATAGTTATTAAAAATAAGCTATTCAGGTTTTAGTAGGTCTAGTAGATTGAATAAATAATCTGGCACTAAATTAAAGTTGAAATACTCTTTGAGTTTATTTATATTTTTGGTTGCTATAAGATAGTTTGGTAGAGAAAGACTAAGGCAAGTGTTGGGTTAATTTTTTAGAGTTGTTGCTTTAATTTTTCTAGATTTTGAGATAGCATTAGTTTGTCTTTGTGTTTTTTTGAGCCTGTTTTGTGTTGAATATTTATCTAGCTTGAAGGTATTTCAGTAAAGTAGTAGTAATTTCTTAGTTCTTAAGCAATATCTATGAGTTGTTTAAATAAATAATTGAAGTTGTAAGATTTATTTGGGTAATTAGAAGTGAGTTAGTAGGTAGTTTTAGTTTGTTAGTAGCATTGACGAGTGTATATTCTTTTGGCAAAAAAAGCTTAAAATTGTATTTTTCTTGAATTTTAGCTAAGAATCTTTTTGCTAGAGGTTTATCTAGTATTGGGTAAGTATAGGTGTGTTTAGTTTTAATTGTATTGTGGTCAAAAGGTAGGTAGAAAAGTCTAATAATGTAATCATTAAGGAGTTTTTGAAGTTATAATGTGGATAAAGAAGGTTTGCAAATCTCTTGATGTTATTTATATCTTTTGATCTGCATAAAAATAAGTAATAAAGGTTGTAAGGTAATTGTTGGGGTGAGAGTAGAAGTAATGGTTTTGGGTCTGGTAGTTGGAAGTAGTTAAATAGTATTTTGTTAACATTGTATAATTTTTTAAGTTTTTTTTAGTATTTAGACAGGTAAGGAAGCGCTAAGCAGTTAGTAATAGGGAACAGATCTTTGATAGTAAAGTGGAGTTTAGTAGGATTACTAAGGAGTTCTAGCTTTGCTTTTATAATATATGCATCTGGTAATTTTTTAAATCTATATATTTTTTATAATACTACTATAATTGCTTATGTATGTTTTGTTTCTTTTATAGATAGTTCAAAAAATAAGTCAGATATAATGTTGTTAGAGATTTCATTAAGTGTGACCAGAAGAGAGTCAAGGCACTCTGTATTTACTATTCATATGAGTTTTCAAAGCTTGTAGATATGTTGATTTTGGCAAAGTTGGGTAGTAGTAAATCTTTTATGCAATATCATATAGGTTGGTCTTTATGAAGTTAATATTGATAATATAATCGATTGCTAGTTTGATTTTAAGTTTTTGCATGATTTGGTTTCTATTATTTTTGTTAATAAATTGAGTATTGTATTGATATTTGTATTTCTTGAGAGCTATGTTATATAAGGTTTTAAATTCTTTTTGGTAAGAGGGAGGTAGTTTGTTTATTACAAATAAATAATTTAAAGAAGGCTGTATCAAGGTAGTTAAATTTAACTTATATTGCTATAAATAAGTTTAAACAAGTAGATTGTCTAGTAGCTTTGTAACTAAGGAAGGCGTATAATTGAGATATATCCTCAAGTATATTAAGTATTATTTCAGTATTCTACAGGTTTAAGTCAAAAAATTGGCTTTGGCTTGCTATTGTTTGGGTGCTCCATAGTGCTGAGAGTTCAAGAGTAGAAGTTTTCTTTATAAGTAATTAGAATCAAAATGATTAACAATAGGTACAAGGTAGGTTCAGTAGTGGTTAGGTGGTTGGTTTGGTATATAAGGTTCTTTGAAGGTAGTCTCAATCT